ACCTTTTCTAGAGATCATATTTTAAAGATCAAGGTCAGTGAAAATGAAATAGGAAAAGAGTGTCCGGGTGGAAATTTCAATGAAAAAAAATAAAGTTTGAGTATTTTGTTAATGACACATTAATTTCCGTTTACCAAGGAGCATACGGCGGGTCATTAACGGCGGGTCATTAGGGAATGCTAATTTTTCCAAGGCATCTGATCCCACCTCTGGTCCCATCTCTGAGATCAGTGTTTGCTCTGCTCACAATTTGTTTTGTTTCGATGGACTTTTAAGCTTGTTAACTATCCATTTCCTTCATATTTCGTTATACTACTATATTGGTTTTCAAGGATGAAATCGTAAAATGAGGATATATCTTTTTTTCAAGATTGTTTTAAATTATCAAGACCATTTTTTTTTTTTTTTTTTACAAATGTAATATGTTGGATTTTCCATTCTTCTTTCTCTTTGGCAAAACATGTCGGCACTATAAGGAAACAATAAACCAATTCTTTGAACTTTTCTTAAATAGATGAATTTTTCAGAATGTCGAAAAAAATCTCTGTTGGCAATAGTTAGTTTCTTAAAACCAGTATGTAGTGGAGCTTTTGGAAAAGTTTTTAACATTTTCTTTGGATGAAATATTTGGAGATAACGAACAGTATTCAAGCTCAAAAGTCCATAAACCAATACAAAACAGGAGCAGGGCAAACACGGACCTCCAAAACATCAGAGTTGGGATCAGGTGCCATGGAGGAGTGAGCATGCCCTGCCGACCGCCCCCTCCCCTTCCCCAGGTGCTCATTGTCATGATCGGGAAATAACAAGAAAATCCCTAGACAATTAAGTGTGTAAATAATGATCTAACAATTATTATGAAACTTTCAGTCAAAATTTGACTCAATGATAAATTATTTTTGCTGACAAGGTCATTGTATCGATCCTAGAACTTACGAAATGATGACTATAAACGGAACTGCTGATATTCTTTTTTTATCAACTTGTTGGCAAATATTTACCCCCTTTTAAAAATTGTACATACAAAGGGCATTCTCTTGAATTGTGTATTGAATCAACTGAGAGATATAAATCCCTTATGCAGATGATCAATTTATATTGCTGTATAAGTAAGGGAAGTTGACGATTGAAAAGTTGAAGTCATCACGTTTATCATAAAGCTTAGTTGTTATATTACCATTAATTTCTTTTTAAAGTAAAATATCCAAATATGAAACAGCCATATGTCAGACTCTGTAGTATCTTTAATCTCAAGCTCACCGGGATATATCGTATCGACATAAGTATGAAAATTACCATTGTTAATTGACAATACGTCGTAGATAAATCTAACTGTCGAGTTGAAGGCTACAACACGTGTTGTCTTCTTTTCATGTACAGATTTTGGACAAATTCTGCTTCATATGAATACATGAATAGGTATGGCAATTGGTAATAACGAGGCGCAATTGGTTAACATGAAAATTCCAATAAATTGTTGGTCTCCAAATTATTGATAGATATTGTCAATCAGAAACTAAAGCATCTTTTTTATGTCACCTTCAGAGTACTTGTGTGTACAATCAGAATGATTTTTAGCAAAATAATTTTGCAAATGACCCATGACAAGGTAGGTAAATTAAAGAGTTCCATATTTATTTAAAATGCAGCTGTCAATGATACCAAAAAGCCTGGACTTTGCTTTATCGTGCGGAATGGTTGTGTATAAAGTCGTAAGTTTTTAAGCAGTTGATTTTTGTAAATTCTTGTGATTTCAATTTTTCCAAACGTTCCTTTAAATTTTTTAGTGTCCACATCTGATTTACACTACATTCTCGAATACAATGTTGCACAGTACTTTTGAATTTCTCCTTCACAACTGTTAATATCTTAGTGCTGAGTAGGGAAAAGGGCTTGGTTGAACATTTACTGGAACCCGCTATGTATTTTTGTACGGATTTTTATGAAATTTTGGAATACAAGATACATGTGGTAATCCAAAATAATTTTGGTTGTTTGGAATACAAAAAAAAAATGTGAGTTGATGAATGCCCATTTTTTAGAGATCAAATTGTGAAATTTTGAAGAAGAAAAAAGTTTAAAGAAATCAAAGAAAAGCTAATGATAAGAATGAAAATATATTTTCATAATCAAATGGTTTTAAAATGAAGACTTTATACATGTATTATAAATGGAAGCAACTGAAAAGAACTGAAGGTCTGTTAACCGAGGAAGGACAACTTCTGAAGCTGTCCAAACTGCAGCAGACTCAAGCCACGGTTATTTTTCTTACTTATCGATCACTCTTCGTCTGTCAATTTGTATCAAAAGAATGTCCTGTTAGTTATTTTAGTTTCTCTAATTAATATTTCATGTTATATGAAAACCAAAATTATTTGTCATTTTATAGTTTTATAACAATGTACTTTAACAAAACTGAATCGGAAGCTTTGTTTTGTTTGAGAGCTCCGTTAAGAATTATATTCTTATGTTACATTTGTCGAATATCCGTAATTTTTGGTCTGCGTTGTATCATTTTATACTTTAATATACGAGGTTGTATTGGTTGCTGCTCATGTGATATTTATAAGATGTTATTTTTTGAAACCCAAAGTATTTTTCCATTAATCTAACTCTTTTTCGTCAATGTTTTTATGAAATATTGGAAAGTGATTGCACTAATCGATTTTGGAATGCAGGAAATGATATTTTTAACATTTTGTACAGCATTCCTCTTGGCTATGGAAGAATACAGCCAGTTTGCGTAAAATTAAAAAAAATATTATATATATAAATAAACTGAAATGAGATTTGCTAATATCCATTTAAAAAGTTCATATTGATGTCGTGATGTTCATAAGATTTACCGAACCTATAAAGTAATCAGCAGGAATTACCCTGAGTTATCCTTCAGGGAAGGATAATTCTGAAACGTTTCCACAGAGCAGAAATAGCATTAAATACTGTAAGAATAAAAAAAATGAATTTTTTAATTTAGTTGAGATTGACGTTATTTATTGAAATTAATTTTAGGTTAAAGCCAGTGAAATTTTGAATCGTGATAAATCCGATAAGCCTTGAAATTGTCACTAGCTTATAGCAGCTTCTATCGAAGACCCGTGATGGGTAAATGGCCTTAAGTGACACGATCGTGTCAGGAAATCCATGTTTAAGATAACGGGATCCGGAAGCAGGGCTGTTTAAATGACCTCAGAGGGATTCAAGGTCATGTATAAAAATGATATTAAATAAAGAAGAGGATAAAGGAAACCCATAAAATTAACATTTTTAGCTTTGCTTTGCCACCAAGTTTAAGAGCAAAAATAAAAGGTGAAAAAGTAAGGATAACTTGAACATTTCCAAGAAAAATTCAGAGTTTGTTGTTCACAAAACATGTGAGTGCGGAGCTTGCATGCAAGATATACGAACCAGAGCCTTTCTTAACAAAGGAAATTTGTCCTCACTCATCAGTTTCCATTCAATGATAATTTCATTATTATGATTCGCAATTTCGGTTTGTTTTTGAATATTCAATATCGATATTCAAAAAATATTTAGATATACATGTAGCCATTCAGTGTACTTTGTTAATTTCTTGTGACGGTTGAGCTGTATTAATGAAGATAGACAAATTAAGTGCATCTTTTTTTATCTTGAATTCAAAAGTAACCGGTTTTACACTGTGTGTGTCTATGAAGAAAAAAAATCTTCTCTAGTGTGAAGTAATCCTTAATCCAATTTACATATAAATTAGATAAAGCAGTGACTATCACCATTCAACTGTACATGTATCTTTAATTTGGGGATTTATTTCTTAAACCACAATTTTTAATTTTTTTTTTTCTTCTTTAAAGTTTTATTTTATGCATGTAGTATTTTCTTGCATGAAATCAACGTTCAAAACATCCATTAAATGCCACGTTTCTGCTCGTTAATCAAGGAAAAAACAACAGGAAAGTGACAAATTCTGTAATATGAAGAAATTCAGCAATTCCGATCCGATTTGTCTTACTGTTAATCGTGATTGAAGCAAATTTGGAATCTTCACTGTGTTTTTCTGGCATGAACTATAAAAATGATGCCGTTTCTCCGTGAGCCGCTGTTTGGAGAATGAATGTTTTGGTTCCATATCCATCGGCAAAAATTCCATTAGTCGAGTAGTCATCTTATTTTTTATCTCTGTATCTTTTGCAACCAAAGGCTATCATCTGTTATACGAATATCAAAAAATTAGCAAATTGCCGTGAGGTATTAAAAAAAAAATCTTTATCATTTCCTCAGATGAGCGAGAGGTTCACGCATGATGAATTAGTCAATAAACATTAAACTGTGTGTAATAAATTCTAAAATCTCAGGTGGTTTAAATGCTTTATTGATTGATGTATTTTTTCCACCATTACAACAAAGTCTACATGACACCTTTTTCGTTATTTAAACTATGTGCAAGATAATTACTAAATTCATTATCGAACATTCTGAAAATATTTACATCTAGAAATAGGGCTGATAAACCGCTACAAAGGGAGATCGTAAGCCTTTACATTAGCAGGGTAAATTCTACTTTGGCAAACAAGTAGCAAACTCTAATATTTACTCAGAAACATAAAATACGGCTTAATGATCAAATAATGATTTGATAAGTACGTAAAATGTTTGTTCATTTCCAAAGAAATTATATAGAATTCGATCTACAAACAAAATAATAGGATATTGAAAGAGAAATCTATTCTCCCTGATTGGTTCTTTCTTTGATCGTAAGCTTAACAAATAAATGTATATGCAGTATCAGTGCAGAGAAATATTTGCTTTCAGTGTTTCATTTAATTAAAAACAAATTCTATCCTGGACCTTTCTGACCACATTACATACCCAAACAATGAGGAAAGTAAACAGATCATCCCCATCCAGAAAAAAGCAGTTTATACCCCCACAACCTAACACGCCACACGATCGTTAATTTTGCGAATCAACACTGAGGTCAATGCTGAAAGTTTTTAATGTTTGTCAATACTTTTTTTCAGGAATAAATTCACACAGCCAGAAACAGACACAATCAAAGTTTACAGATTGGTCCAGATTCAACAGGTACACAGATATGACAATTGACAAGATTTCGTCATCCAGGTAGATGGATCTACGGAATCGAAGTGTTACCTAGCAACGTTTTAGCATGTTTCACAGCATCTTTTCAAGATACTACTTGATTTAACCAGATAACCAATCAGAGACCTTGTTGTATCTGAAAACGGAGAAATCTCACCATGCCTTTACCAAACAATACTAGCACTACGAGCAGCAAAAGCGGATCGCTGCTAAGCCGTGTAGGAATTAATAAACTTCCTGGAGGGTCAAAAGGACCCGCTCCCCTTCCTCTGTCTAGTCCCCCCACTGGGAAAAAAATGGGGAACGGGGCTAGTGCTTCTAGCATCAATGTGGACGGAGAAAACATAGATATTATCAAACTTAAGACATTGGTACCCGAACTTAAGAAAGAACTCAAAATCAGAGATGCCAAGTTACAACGTTATGAAGCGGAACTTCTCGAAAAATCAAAACTGTTGGAGGATAAGTGTATGGAAATTGCCAAACTCCGTGCTGAAGTCGATAAATTACAATCAGTGTTACATATTAAAGTTCATAAAAATGCAGGCACGGGAGGAAAATTCGACTTTCTGGCCACTATTCAGGAGGATTCACAAATGGCAGGTGCCCAGCAGGAGTTACGACATAAAAAGCAGGGAGTGTCGGCAGAAAGTCCTATGACCCAACAGAATGGCGTGGCAGTGGAGATCAAACATATAGAAAAAGATTTCAGGTCAGTTTTGGACACACACAAGCACAAATATATTGCCTGATTGACGGAAATTCAAAACAAGTTTAGAACAAAACAGAACGTAAGTTTTTTTATTATTGCAGCAAATAATCAAACTGTTATACATTAAATATATGTGAATCTACATACCTAAAACAGGTATTTTCATAATAAAGTCTGAGAGTATGTCATAAAAAATCAATAAAAAGTAAGTTTTCTTAAGCATAAAACGAACACCTGATCATTTAGCACGCTTTGTTCACAAGTAAGAAGTCGGGAACCATATTTCTAACATGGAAATAACATAAAATAACCACAGACCATTTTATGACATTACACAACGATAGTCTCACACGGCGTTGAAAGAAAAAAGGATGTTTCAAGTGATTAAAAAAAGAAATTTATGATCTAGCTAAACACTAGCATGTCTACTTGATCAATACGTACTCGTACTTAAGGAGTATAACATTTGGCATTTAGAGACATTAGGTAACACTGATGACGAATACCGAAAGGCAATGATTTATTTTATTATCACTATAATGACCAATCCATAACCATAGAAACAGCTTACATTTAACTAATTTAGGTCCGCTCCCGTAGAATTATTAGTTCTAATCAACAACTGTTAAGTTTCCGTGATCCTGGGTGTACACAACGTTTTATGACGTGGACACATAAACATTTTTAAATCTCTAATGAGGGCCTCTAATTGCAACACCTGTCATCTATATGTCTTACACATCTCATCATAACATCCAGTTTGTCAATATCCTTATCCCTTTGAACATAATTAAACGAGAAAAGTCTTAATACCCCGAGAACTAATGAGTGTTGTATTATCCTTCAAATATCATCTCCTTCACACATTGGTCTTCCTTGCCTAAGTTTTAACTCGTAATATTTACAGCTTCATTGAGGAAAAAACACTCTGTTTTCACACTATCAATTTAATAAATATCCTCACCAGCAAAAATGCACATTCCTAGCTGTTTCCCATTATTTAATATAATTATCAGGATCTGTAATTCAGGTTTCAATAGGTCTTTTTCTGTACACAGTCTTTTTGTCTCGCCTGCGACGAATGTCGCGAAGCGAGACATAGCGACCATAGATTCCGTCGTCGTCGTCGTCGTCGTCGGCGTCCAACTTTTGGTTAACCCAAATGTCAAAGTTTTATAAACTGCAATAACTTTCTCAAATTTTATTCAGTCTTCTTGAAATTTGGACACAATATTCAGTATGGATAAAAATTTATATCCCAAGTATGATTTTGAAAAAAAAAATTCAAATTTTTCCGTATTTTTTCCTTAAGTTGGACTTAGTTTTTTCATGATAATTTATGGTGAAGACCTATATTCCAGCAACTATAAGTTATAGGGATATGATAATTAGTCAGTGGATACATCATGGGTAACCACAAACGTCAGTACCAGAATTAGGTCATCTTGACCTACATTTTTCTGCATGAGTGACTTTGGTTAAATTTTTGGTGGAGGTCCATATCTCAGCATCTATAACTTATAATGGCATGATGATTTGTCATTGTACAGGTTATAAGTAACCAACAACATCAGTACCAGAATTAGGTCATTTTGACCTACATTTTTCTGCATGAATGACTTTGGTTAAATTGATAATGGAGGTTCATATTTCAGCAACTATAACTTATAGTGGCATGATAGTTAGTCAGTGGATACATCATGGGTAACCACAAACGCCTGTACCAGAATTAGGTCATCTTGACCTACATTTTTCCGCATGAGTGACTTTGCATAAATTTATGGTGGAGGTCCATATCTCAGCAACTATAACTTATAGTGGCATGATAATTTGTCAGTGGATACATCATGGGTAACCACAAACGCCTGTACCAGAATTAGGTCATCTTGACCTACATTTTTCCGCATGAGTGACTTTGCATAAATTTATGGTGGAGGTCCATATCTCAGCAACTATAACTTATAGTGGCATGATAATTTGTCAGTCTACACATCATGGGTAACCAACAATATCAGTACCATAATTAGGTAATCTTCACCTACATTTTCTGCATGAATGACTTGATACATATACAGTGGATTTGATTTCAAAATGCAAGTTCAAATTATTGCGACTCATAACACGTTGCAATATTCGCAATAATAAAAACATCACAATAATTTGTGAATTTACAGGGTATATGTATATATATATAAATGCCAATATAATCGCCAAGGGATTAGATATTAAGTCAGCTGTTCCATTTCTTTATTATTGTATTTTTGAGTTATTCCTTCTGAAATGTCAATAAATGCTTCAGTTTATCAGACAATCATTTCTTACTAACCACAGCGACAGCAGGCGAGACACAGGGTTGCGGGCAACCCTTACGTACTTTTTTTTCCGTACCTAACCCTCTCTTCTGTATGCATCTACAACTATCTGTTTTGTAAATATTCTGTACCTATAGCCTATTTTGAAATGTCTTTACAGATCAAAGCAGCTGATCAAAGATGCAATTCTAGGCAACGACTTCTTAAAAAATCTGGACTCTACACAGGTCCGTGAGATCGTGGACTGTATGTACGAGAAACGAATCAAACAGGGGAACTATATCATCCGGGAGGGAGACGCCGGACAACACGTTTATGTCTCGGCAGGTAAGCATCACGTGACCCCAGAAACCTAAAAAAAAAACAACTAACAAAACCCCTAGAAAAACGATATTTGTTTCGCAAAACTGTTTTAGCTCTACTATTTAAAGACCACAGCAGCTTAAGCGATGGCAAAGTTCCCATCAGTCATTCTGGTTTTAGCTCCACTAGTCGAAGACCAGAAAAGCTAAGTGCCAATCAGTCTGTCTTTCAGTTTAAAATGCTGGTTTTCTTACTGATCTGGACCAATCACAGAATGAACTTTCACCACTCAGTCAACTGAATACTAGACTTAACTGAAAGGTCTGAAAATGTCACTTAATGGCAGGTTCAGTCATTAAGTCACCTTTCAACAGACTTTCAGTCAATTTTCAGTTTACTGAATGGCAGTGTTTCATCATGTGTATTTCTAAAACATTTCATACCAAAGTAGATTCTATTTGTTATAGTCTCTTTATCTATTTTTGCTTTTTATTCATAACAAAACCAGACTTTTTGAAAAATAAGAGTTTTGTGAAATTCTTTCAAAAAGGTATTTATCCTCTACTTTTGATCCATTTTCAGTAAACAAAAATAAAAAGATATACAACTATAAGTATACTAAACTAAGAGAAATGTCTCTGTTTACTGGCTAATTGGTCTTTTGAATCAGGAGAACATTGATAACCTACTAGTATTCAAAGATAAAAGTCTGTAAACTACGCCTACATTTTTAACTGATTTCAGTAAAATTTAGTAGGATAGTAGCTTACAAAAAGATATATTTTCTTTTTATCTATTTTTGGTTTTGACGAATGGTGTTGCCATGGTCATTAAAATTTTTTCGCTGAATTTCGAAAAGAAAACTGTACACAAGTCTATAAATCATTAAGATACATAATTATGTGTATGGATTTTTGGATAACTATGTTACCTAGGTTTATGATAAACCTTTCAAAAGGCTTATATCACAGCTTTTGGTCGATTTGAATTAAACATGCCTCACAAAGAGACTTCACCAAAAACCATAATTCTAATTAATGATGTTGCTTGTTTCATAGTATATGCTACTTTTCTAAGTTTAATTATCAGAGTTACATTCAAACCAATTCTGGTTTAGCTAAATGAGATTCAATATTAAGCTGTTTAACAATTTTAAAGTAGCCCGGAGTTTCAACTAATTTTAAAATACGTTAACTCTTACACAAAAAACCAAAAATTTATGTGAATATACATTCATATTGCATAGCAATTTCCTGTCAGCTCATGTAAGTCTTTTCGTATTTTTTTTTTGTTTTGCTTATACAACCAAGTACTCAATTTATCGTGTTGAATAGAAATGCATATTCTCGAAGTGTCTCATTAGATATATGGAATAATTCTTGTTAATCGGTTTCTGTGAGGATGGCAAACTGGGATCATACATGTATGAGAAGTCTTGCATGAGCGGGGTGTCCTCGGGTTGGCCAATTCCTCATAGACACAAAATATTATCATGCATTCCCAAATTATGCGCCTTAATTTCTATCCAAGTACAATACAAAATTCCTAATGAACAATCTCTGCATAAAGTAATGCAATCTCTAAACATCCTAGTTCTTATAACTAAAATATTTTTATATATAATACTATGACAGGGAAAAACTCACTGACAAAACATGAAAAATCTCTATGAAGAGTCGCATTGTTTTGCGATTAATCAATGTCCTTTTGATCTTGTGGGAAAACGAACCGGTCGATTTTACATATACTTTACCTTAATAATCAGAATTAAATATTTTTAGTAATTAAAAGTCTTGTTATCTACGTCTATTATTTGTTAACGCATTAGTTTCCAAAAATATTAAAATTTGTGTTCCATAATAAGCCAAAAAATTAACTTATTTTAAAGGTTCATTAGATATACAGGGAATATTTCCATATATTTATCACAATTTTTTTTTCTTCTCTCATTATCGTTAAATTTAAATTTTAGGGGGGGGGGATGTATATTGCAGAGATATACAACAAACAAAACTCTTAATAAAATATCAACAAATCACTCAGTTGAAGAATATGTGATATGATCTTGTCTAATTTAATAGAAGACTTTCAAGAGAAGTTGTTTGGAAATTATGTGGTAAAATGATGTCAAAATGCAAGTCTATCGAAGAGAAAAAGTCATATAATTCTTGTCCTTAGATGCAGATATAATAAAACATTTCAATATAAATATGAATACTTTCAGAATATGACACAGACTAACTGTTGGGCTAAGAAATGAAAGCGATTGTACAGTATAGATTTTACTCCCCAAGACATTTTACATATATTATTCCCTATGTTCTTTAATCGTTCTTTCCAAGAATAGAAAAAAATCCTTTGATTTTGTTTTGAGTATTGTTAAAAACCCGATCAATTCTATTAAATAAATCTCACTGACAAAACATGAAAAATCTCTATGAAGAGTCGTATTGTTTTGCGATTAATCAATGTCCTTTTGATCTTGTGGGAAAACGAACCGGTCGATTTTATATATACTTTACCTTCATAATCAGAATTAAATATTTTTAGTAATTAAAAGTCTTGTTATCTACGTCTATTATTTGTTAACACATTAGTTTCCAAAAATATTAAAATTTGTGTTCCATAATAAGCCAAAAAATTAACTTATTTTAAAGGTTCATTAGATATACAGGGAATATTTCCATATATTTATCACAATTTTTTTTTCTTCTCTCATTATCGTTAAATTTTAGGGGGGGTGTATATTGCAGAGATATACAACAAACAAAACTCTTAATAAAATATCAACAAATCGCTCAGTTGAAGAATATGTGATATGATCTTGTCTAATTTAATAGAAGACTTTCAAGAGAAGTTGTTTGGAAATTACGTTGTAAAATGATGTCAAAATGCAAGTCTATCGAAGAGAAAAAGTCATATAATCCTTGTCCTTAGATGCAGATATAATAAAACATTTCAATATAAATATGAATACTTTCAGAATATGACACTGACTAACTGTTGGGCTAAGAAATGAAAGCGATTTGTACAGTATAGATTATATTCCCCAAGACATTTTACATATATTATTCCCTATGTTCTGTAATCGTTCTTTCCAAGAATAGAAAAAAATCCTTTGATTTTGTTTTGAGTATTGTTAAAAACCCGATCAATTCTATTAAATAAATCTATCAGATTCTGTATAGAGAATAAAAGTAGATACCCGTTGTCTCTATTCCTATTTCAGTCACTCATCCTTTAATGGTTCTTGCAAAAATTGCAATCTGCATGCTAAAAAAACGAAAGTATCTTTTCTCTATTTTGAAGTGCATTATTAAGATATATGGGGGTTGCTGTATTGCTAACAAATTGTGTGCTTAGATTTAAAAGGATCGCTTTACCTCTAACAAATGTTTAGCTAATATTGATTTAATTGGATCGCTATTTTGCTCACAAATTCCGTGTTAAGTTTTCTAAGCATTTCAATTTAGCTAACAAATTGTGTGCAAAAATCATAAGGATCCTAATTTGCTAACTTTATGAATTTTTAACACAATTTTCTAAGAATACAGCAGCCCTTATACAGTACGTCCTTCACTGAGCATCGCTGATTTGCTAACAATTTGTATGCTAAGAATGATAAGGATCGCATTCGCTTTACTGCTTTCGAATTGGGTGAAAAGGCTAATTAGGATGAGTGTATATTGCTAACATATTGTCTTCTGATATTAACGTATAGAGGGGCGCTGTTTTCCTACATAGTTTGATCAGGGTGCTGTATTCCTATAAATTTATAGGGATGGATATATCGCCAACAAATTGCCTGCTATAAGAATCTGAGATTCGCTTTGATGCCTACAGATTTTAAGTAAAGCTTTTAAGGATCGTAGTATCACTAACTTTCAATAATAGAATTTAGGAACTGGTGTTATTTGATATTCCAAACACAGAGCATACTAATTTTTTACTTTTAATTGCCAAAGAAATCATTTATTCGTTTGTCTTAAAGATAGTAGATGTCAGTCAAATCCCATCTAAAAACGAATACTATACTAAACTTCCCATAATATTAGTATATTACAAATGCCTTTCCTTTTTAGTTTTCGTAAAAATTATTACAAACAAGTTAGTAAAAGGATTATTGTTCATTGATGCTAAGTTAACACAATACCCAAGTTTAAACGGGCAATTTAAATCAGTTAACTTAAGAAAAGCTGCAGAACTGTAGCTTTGGTGGATCATCCCAATTTTTTCATACCAGCAAACTACACATCTGCAGCTAACTTTAGAAACGCAAAAAAATGTTAAGATCAGTTCAAAATATCAACTATCTCATACCTAAATTTCCTTTTTTATTATGATTTCTTTAATATTTATAAAGAAATATAATAAACGGCAGAGATGGCAGGTATTCTATATGGATATGCCTTGCTGTATTAATGCAGAAGATAAAAATCGGTATTGAAAGAAATTGTATCTATCAGCATTTTATTTTTTAAGAAAAATAAAAAAAAACATTATCAGCAAACAACTTCATTTTCCTTAATTATTTATAATTAATTGTTGATTTTTTTTTAACTCTTTGATGTTTTTTATACAAATCACTTGAAATTACTCTTACAGAAGGTGAATTTGAAGTCCTGAAAAACAACAAAGTTCTGGGGAAAATGGCAGCCGGCAAAGCTTTTGGAGAATTGGCCATTTTGTACAACTGCACCAGAACAGCTTCCGTAAAAGGTAAACCTTTGTTCAATGTATGATAACACATACAAAATGATTTGTTATCAATTTGAAAGAAAAAATGTTTTGACTTTTGACAGAGGTTAATTTCCCTTACTCAATTTTAAAGTTATATTTTAAAACTTCATGTTTTAAATTTGGAAGATATATCGTGTAAATGTCGCTTAGGCTAAGCCTTACATCCTTATATATATATAGTGAGGCTTTATAAAATGACATTTATTTTGATCTACATAAACAGTACAATGCCTACTCTCTTTATTATCAAACAAACAAGATCTTATCCACTTTGTCTCCTACTAGAATCCCCCGACATGATATGTCCTTTTTATCTGCTTAATTTTTTTTTATTGATTTGTTATTTCATAATAAACGTAAGAATATCTAAATATATATTTTACGTTGTCATCGACGTATTTCGTTTTTCATTATTAGTTTTTTCCCTCTTGCGTCAACATACCAATAACATACTTTGTGCAGAAAGACGTATTTTTTATACGGTGTACATTTTTTTAATTAATGAATATATCATTTCAAACACAGACATCAAAATGTATATCTTTAATATCTCCCACTAATACACGTATTTGCCTTGCTATATTTTGTACTTAATTGGTCAATATTTTGAATGTCATCATATACTTATCTTACAGACATCAAACGACCATCTCATTCTTCTTTTCCTGGTTGTCACTATCTGTCAATCACCCGTTTTCATATTTACTTGTAATTAACATACAGCTTCTTTTCCCATTTTCTTGATTCTTTCCTTCTGGTAACTTAGGTACTATTCGCATTCTTTCCTGAAAATAGAGTTTTGTCGTGATATTCTATAAGGTATTGATTGGTCATAGGGTTAACAAAATCGATATGTGTATAATTAATATAATTAAATCTAACACATGGTATCAATGTCAAAGGTTCATATTACATGTAGATCCTTGTGCTCACTTCAAAGCAGGTTGACTGTCTTACCACGTTTCCATAAATTGCTATTACCTTCAATTTTCTGCAAAAAAGTTCCTCTTGTATGATAGGATTATTATAGGAATTATATGCCTGTTGCCCAATCTATTCAGTTTTCTAAATAAATACTGTTTAAAAAGAAAAAAAATAAGTTAACAAATTCATTACGTAATTCAAATCATCATCTACCTGTAGAAACAGGGAGATGGTGTGGCACTCCATTTAATGAAGGAGTATTTTTACTACATGTGACAATGGAAAAAAATGGTGATGAATGCCACTACATTTTTGAATGTACAGCTTTTTTTTTTTAGAAAATAAGAAAAAAAAGTTACATAGTAGTTACTGCAATAGACGAAATGTTGTAAAGTTCAATGAACTCATTGCCAATTCCAATGTTAAATATTTTTAAAAGAAAAGTTCTGTACATTTATTGAAAAAAAATCTTTGAGAATGTCTTTCCTCCTTGATAGTCCACAGGTGTTTTTTCTTTGCATTGAATTCATACATATTTTTATAATGTAAATATTTATTTATGTTTATATATGATATATGTACCTCTGACGATTTGTGATTTATACTTTATGTTCCTCATGTACCACGTTGTATGGTTTGATGGAATAAATCAACTGATTGCTTGATTGGTAATTTAATTATGGTCTTGTATTCCAGCCCTGACCGATGTCTGTGTGTGGGTTCTGGATCGCCGGGTCTTCCAGACCATTATGATGAAGACTGGGCTACAACGACAAGAGGAAAACATTCGATTCCTCAGAAGGTTCAGTAAACACAATTCAAATAAAATCTTACATATACTTCGATAATACGATCTCTGAGACTCAAAGAAATTATTATGTATTGATTTGTAGCAAAAGGCAGGAAAAAGAAACAGAAATAATTATCACTTGGAAGAAAAAGATATTATATTACGTTTAAAATGAAAAATAAATTCCTGTTAAGATACACTTTATTGCCTGGTTGCTGAATGTCTTTGTTATAGACATCATGAATAAATCTCCCATGTTTTGTGTAATTCAATGGGCAATATCCTCAGGCACTCTAAACGATTAAGTGTCCACTCAGCACCGAGCTGTCACATCGTCCAAGTGGTCACTTCAGTCCAGTTATTACAGCAGGGTCCATGTCAGATAAATACTAGATGTGACTTATTTAAAAAAAAATACTCAATAAAAGTCCAGGGTTTCGGTGATAAAAGCAGCTTGTAATTAGTAACGTCTAATTATCTTCCGGAATCGTTTACGCCCACTGGATTCCATGCAATTTTAAAAAAATGCTATGATTTTTTTTTCCTCCTCGAGAAAAAAATTTATTTCCTTCAGAGTTATGGGAATTATAGAAAGATGAATATACACTTAATTAATATGAGTCGATAAGAATTAATGAAAGACGTGAATTAAATTAAATGATAGAAACTCAATAATATATGAATTGTACATATTTTATGCAAGTTTTGTTGTAATTTTATCGGTTTTTTCCTATTTTTAGTGTACCATTACTAAAGAACTTACCAACGGAAAAACTTGCAAGAATAGCTGATTGTCTTGAAGTGGTAAGCTACACTGTCTTATTGTCATAAGGAATAACAATCTCTAAGGCTTTCAATCTGGTACAATAGTTGAGAAATGTCGGAGTGGTACAATATTGCATCTTAATTTGTGAAGGTGCATAAAAAGTTTAGTTACGTCATCAAATATCTAAATAGTTACATAGAATGTGTAAATTGTAGCGTTAAATATCTATATGAATATAAAAATATTTTAATGGTAAAGTGAAGTATCTGGATAGTTATATAAAATACCTAAATGTTACCATGAAATATCTAAATGGTAACACGAAATATCTACATGGTACAAACATGAAATATCTTTACGTTGTAAGGTAATATAATGGTTAAATTATTTTTTTTGTAGTGGTACATGTAAGACCAACAAAAGTATAGTGGGAATAATAATAAGGTGGCAATTAAAACGTCTTGAAATGATAATTAAGTCTCAGAATATGTAGGTGGCAATAATATGAAGTGATAGGGAAAATTCAATATTAAAGTTACAAAAGTTGTAATAAAACATCAAAATACCCCTTGCAAAGAAGTTGTGAAATAAATAAAATACATGTACATGACTGGATTACAAATAAAGTCCATCTGTATACCTAATATAAACAACATGAATACCATAAAAAAGAAAATCTATATAAAAAATCTGAATGATGTAAAATTGGTTTTGTATCAAGAAGTGTCTCTGTTGGTTTTTAAAGGTTAAGTGTCAATACTCTATACACTAAAGAAATTATTTCAGTTCGTGAAGTTCTAGCTATAACCTGCTTGCAGCTTACTTTTTTCTATAGAACTGCTTGAAAATTAAGACGTTTGGGATATAGAACTTAACTTAAATGATAACAATTCTTAAATAATTCTTTTTGTTTATTTCTGAGTATATCGTACTTTATAGTTTCTTTAAAAAAATAGTTATTTTAAAAATTCCGAACTTTTTGAAACGAAGTGTACATGAAATAGCAACCGTCTCTTTCAATCTAAAAAGATTTAAGTTGCAAAGCGAAAATGAAACTTTATTTTAGATGCAAATGGTTTCATAATCCCTCAAATGCTTACTTAACATTAAGATGATAATCTTAATACATTAAGCAAAGATTTTATCCAAATAATTGAAGTATATTAATATCCATTTCTATATTTTACAGGACTTTTTCCCAGAAAATGATTACATCATTCGGGAAGGAGAAACCGGGGACTCATTCTTTATCATTAACAAGGGCGAGGTATAGTCATTGTAGACATTATGAAGGGGCAGGACATTGAATGTAACTACATGTAATCTTTAATTAAAACCAGATTTTTTTTAATGTAACATATTTTCATTTATTTAAAGCTTTTGACTTTGTGATGGTTTTTTTTTCTAATATCAAAGCATTAATTATAAAACACAACGCGTTTAAATGATGTCTTCATAAAATTGAGTTGAAAAATACGACAGATAGTCCAGATAAAGGAAAATAAAAATTGTTAAATTAGACCCTATGGAACATAGTATTACGCATAAGGAATATTTATGAGCAAATTTGTTTTAAATGGCTGGATGTGATACGGAATTGTCCTGGATAAGATTTATATAGTTTTCTTTTGCTTTCATAGGTCAAGGTCACTCAAAAAGTCACTGGAGTGGAAACTCCAATGGAAATAAGGAGACTAACAAGGGGAGACTACTTTGGAGAGAAATCGCTCCTTAGGTAACAAAACAAAATTCTTCTCCCATTTCATTTTTCTATCACACTGTTATCCAAGTAAATGCATTAAAATTTGGACAAACCAAAAACTACTGAATCTCCCTTTATGAGTTATTGACACTTATTTACATCTATTTCTTGTTGTCCATGTATGTTTATGGAATCCAGGAAACGTAATTAGCAAACGCGTGTAATTCTCATAGATCTTCGATCTAGATCCGTGTCTTTAGTAGCACTCGTGAGAGCAATTAATAAATCCCATATATACATCTTAATGACAAAGGTAGTTTCATTGACCAGTATTGATCCTTTCTCCGAGTATGGTCAATAAGCATTTATAACCGATTGTCCGGAAGTCTGTGAGGTCAGTCTAGCTGGATCGCCATTAATCTCGTCTCATTATCCTTATGTCGCCAAATTATTGAGCAGCAACCAGGGATATTACTGCAATACTAAAATAAACATTTTGTGTTGATAAAATTAACTGATAAACCTTAACATTTGTCTAGAATTTTCAAAGACTCAACATTCTAAGTGACATACACGTGTTGATTAGAAACCTCACCAAGAAATACGAGCAACTTTACCCACCAAAAATATGCTTAATTTCAACCCCCGAGTTAATTTTAGTTCTTTTTGCGGGAAAATTATCATAACAAATAGGTAATTTACATGTGATGCTAACGACGTCCAAATGTATGCGAACATTTCATTATTGGAAGATAAAAAGGTGATAGTGATATTCAGAGCCATTACCATCTTCTATCCGCTCTATTTATACAAATATAGGAGAGAGAAATGTAAGTCCTAACAAAAGGAAGTTAATTTCCGCCTCTGGAAATCTAATACCTCAAAGGCAGACAAGATCTGATCAATTCACACAAAAATGTTTCTTTTCTAAAATAAGAAAGAAGAAATTATTAACATGTAGTTTGAATTACCATTAATTCTCAAATAAATGAAACTGTCCATGGTTGTACAGTCAAGTCGTTACAGGGTTTTTTTCCATTCGTATATAAAGTATTTTTTCTCAATACTTTTTACCTTGAATCCCTTAGGAAGGACTTCTTCAATCAAGGCTTGCAGACCCTGGCGCCTCATCCAATTATGAAAAGTGTCTTTACATAAACCTAACATTAAAAAATAAATTGTACATAAGAATTCAATAAATGTAACGAATTATATTCATTGAATGGAGTGTAACTTGTAGCTAAAATTGATTAAAAACGGTGCCAAAAATCTTGGAAGAAAAAATAGTTTTATTTCTTCCGGTAACTTGTAAATCATCTACTAGTATACGTACAGTGCTTGTTGTAATGCTATAGTCACTGAATATTTGTTCCAAAAAGATTATCTTCCTGACAAAATATACAAATTAATTAAGAAAAATCTAAGCATATGAGCAGTAAATTGTAACCTTTCTTGTACAGTGAAGACAGAAGAACTGCTAACGTGATTGCATTACCACCAGGAGTAGAATGTCTGACCGTGGACAGAGAGTGAGTACATTTTGTTTCTATTTCTCTCAGAATATTCTTATCTTTGCTTTGTTCATATCGTTCTCTTCAGTGTAACTTGAAAATAGTCTATCGATTTCAAAGAAATATTTTTTTTAGGATTCCTACAAAGAAATGACATTACAGGACATTGCAATTTAAAATGCACAATGAAGAATTAAATTTACAGATCTCAAAACTTTTATTGTTCATTCCACTTATTTTCAGCTAATATATGATATTTTTATCACTGGGTTTCTGTGAGAAAAAGGAAAGAACTCTATGCTATTATAACACTTTAGATTATTAGCTTTCTTTTATGTATTGTTATACAATGCTCTCTGACATTAGTCCTATAACAAATGAAACCAGATCATTTATATATTGTAGTAGGAATTTTACCATTTCACAGACCCTGGAGTTCTTAGACATTAACAAGATACATATTTATTATTTTGCATTATCGCCTTCATTTAGTGTTGGGTGTTAATAAGGGTGGAATTAATTGTTTTGATTTTTTCAGTCATTTCAATGCTCTGATTGGTGATCTGAATGAACTACGTGAAAAAGACTATGGCGACGAAGCACGGGGAGCGCAAAGGTATCGATATATTAAAAAAAATACGAATAACTGTTATAAACAGGGTCTTTGTGACCTCGGAGAATATATTCGATAATGTAAACAGATAATTAAATAATAAGAATCACATGTTTTAATTATGATAACGAGATATAAACTAAGTCTCAGCATGGAGCCATATCGTAATCCCGGTATCTTGTATATGAGTAGATTTGAGGTATTCTGATAAACGCATTTTTAAGAATCTTCCTTATATCTTTTTTATATCAAATATTCACCAAAAAGTAATAAATTATTGGTGATATAGTAGAGACAGATCGACCTTAATTTAGTCAATGTTAACCAGTGCTGTTGACTCTTCTTCCTCAGAACAAGCGGTAGTAACGGTTCTGATGTTCTGTTGTCCCCAGTACGGGACAAACCGGACAAAGAATTCCAAAATATTCAGCTCAAGGACCTCGAAATCATCGCAACTCTTGGAATGGGAGGTTTTGGCCGCGTAGAACTTGTGAGTCTAAAATAACCTATGGTGAAGGGTCATTAAAAATTTCTTGAAAAACTAGATATAGTAATAATTGGAATTTAACATTGCCTATTTTTTATGGATATTCAAAAGTATGATTGTTTATGAAATCATATATATTTTAAAAACACCAATAATTGCTTAATTATATATATTTTTTAGACTCAGCTATCACATTCTCGATCAAAGACATTTGCATTAAAGTGCCTTAAGAAGAAACATATAGTAGACACGCAGCAGCAAGAACACATTTACTCTGAGAAGAAAATAATGATGGAATCTAGATCTCAATTTATTGCAAGGTATACTAAATACATTTTCAAGAACTAGTCAATTCAATTGATTTTTAATAAATATTAATGAACTACATGGCTATTGGTCTCCATGCAGATTGATTCTTTATACATGTATTTAATTAAATGTTCTTCTATGTACAGAAGAAGCAACATTAGATAGTTAATCTACATGATAGCAACAAGTGATTCATATCAAACATTAATGGCAAAATTTGTTTGCAGTGCCTGTCCGTTACACATTGATCGCACACCGTTATTGTGAACATCACCCTGAATTCGATTAAATTGGACATTTTTGCTCATATGTATATGGTGTTCTGGAGAGATAATTCACTGTCTAAATGACATGTAATCTCGCGTTCTATTCCCGTTTTATTCCTCCAATATCGCGGTTGATGAATTCGGAAATACAACGTGAAAATCTGAAGAGTTCTTCACGTTTCTAAATCGGTCGTGCTGAGTGTTATTGATGGAACTGTATTAAGTACATTGGCAATCATTTTTAATTTGTTCAGAATACAGAGAACTATGGTATTGAAATACATGTCCCTAATTTCTTTTTATGTAATTAAAAAAATCCAGTTAATAAAACGGAAATAAGTTTATTAGTTTATTATCTCGCCTCGACGAAGTCGATTGAGCTTATGCTATACTAGTACCCAGCATTGGTATATCGATATAGTTTAAGGACCAGACCAGTAATTGTAAGCCCTACCTGGACCAAACTTACATGGATCATGCAAAATCTGATTTTTGGATAAGGTTCTTTCTAAATAATTGTCCCATAATCCTGTAACAAAGTATGGATGATGTGTCTAGGGATGACACTTCCAGACTGGATCGTCAAAGTGATCCAAGTAATCTTTGATTAAACCTATGTTTTAAATTATTGAAAAATTAACTTTCATTGTGAAGAGGATTTATCAAATATGAATAGCATGCTAAAGGAGTAGAATCAGACTTTCAGGATTTTCCCCTAAAAATTTCAGGGAAAGTTGAAAAGAGATATATCATTGAATATTTTCTTTTTTTCCAACAAACTTTCATAGCAATTTCAAAACACTTTACTTTCAGATTATACAAAACATTTAAAGATAAGAAATACGTTTATATGTTGATGGAGGCGTGTTTGGGTGGGGAATTGTGGACGATTCTCAGGGACAGGGGCAGTTTTGATGACATCACTGCAAGGTTCTGTGTGGCATGTGTTCTTGAGGCATTTAAGTACCTCCACGACAGGGGAATTATTTACAGGGATTTAAAACCTGAAAATCTTCTTCTGGATCAACACGGATACGTTAAACTTGTAAGTTTTTAAACTCTTAATTTGTCTGATATATTGTGTTGCTTTTCACTAAAGTACCTTAAGAAAAAAAATACAAATTTAACTCACTGTTTTACTTACAACGATAGTTTTTTTCTTGGTAAATTATATAGAAAGGAACTGTAAGTAATGGTAGATTTACAAAAGCCTGTGTTCTTCCCCTAGGTGGACTTTGGCTTTGCCAAAAAGATCGGTCATGGTCGGAAGACGTGGACATTCTGTGGTACTCCTGAGTACGTGGCCCCTGAGATTATCCTAAACAAGGGTCACGACAGAGCAGCAGACTACTGGTCACTCGGAATCCTCATGTTCGAGCTCCTAACGGGCAGGTAGGAAGATAGGTCAACTGGAACTGAAAATAGGCCAACTGGAACTGCAGTTCCAATGTTACTGCATAATGAGTATACGTGTTCGCTAACAGCTCAGCTACCTGTTTTATTTAAGAAATAAACAACGTTATTCAGTGAACATGGCGTTATGAATAGCAATTGCTCTGCTGGCATATTCCATGATGCGCGCTAGCGCATCATGGAAAATATGCCAGCAGAGCTATTGCTATTCATAATGCCATGTTCACTGAATAATCGTTGTTTATTACTTATATTTGCATTCTTTGATTTTTTTCAAGAATATCAGAGGAAATCCTAACTTACATAAGGACGTGGCTTCTTGTCTTCAGTAAAGGAAAACATACGGCTTTAAAATCGGTACACCTGATCAATGCTCCTTTTCTCTGATAAATCACAAACAATTTTTAAAGTATTTCCCTCTCAAACACAGTTATCTGGATACAAGCAGCGCCGTCATCACATTCTCTTAATTTTTGTTTTGATGCAGTTGTGACGTCATCGATCAACGTTATTGAAACCCTCTGACAAAAATCAATAATTTAACGCTATGATGAAAAATGATAATGCTTCCATAATGATTATTACTCCAGAATGCTTTTCTATGATTTTTTTTTTCAGTTTTTCTATTTATTTTTAATAGCTGAAATCATTTTTGAAATAGAATTTTCTCTTTCTGAATGTTATTACCCAAGTGTGAAGAGTTATCGTTCTTTGTACAAATATGCATGATACGAAAAAATAAAAATTTGGCAGTTCTCAAAAATTTTTAAGAATTTTATTATACAATTAAATACAATGACCAAAATTAAATTTTTAAAGATATAAATCAGCAATTTTAAATATTCTGAATTTCTTTTTTTTTTCAAAGAATATAATTAAAAACTTATATTTATGCCTCTCATGAAACATTTCATATATATACTTCTGAACACTATATACATATGTGTAGCAGAGCTTGATCTGTACGAGTGCGATAGAGCAATTGCACTTATAGCAGTAGCAGTTGCGTCTATAGTCCTATGAATGCAGTTGATGTGGACATGTTCATAGTGGGAGAGTGCAGTGGATATGCAAATATATATAAGAGTAAGAATGATATGAAATGAATTCCTGATAATAAAGAAAAGATTATTAAACACAATTTTGATGATCAGCAATTAATAATCTTATTTTAAGGGAAATCAGAAGCATTTCATATATCTTTAATATATTTTTTTCTAAGAATTCAAAAAAAAGTTTGTTGTGAAGTTAAAGAATACGATTTAGCCGCTCGTAGTGATATGGAATATTTGAACATTACTTCGACAGTAGCCTGGGTCTTCTCAGCCCACTTGTCTGGCTTAAGCTTGCTTGCACCATTAAGAATGAGCTACATGTACGAAAGAACACTTCTGTTTGATTAATATCAAGGTTGGTTCAATGGCATCCTTTTGCTTTTAATCAATATGTTCAATTAACGATTGCCTTTTACAGTTGAATTCCATACTCCAACAATTCTGATCGACTGCCTCAATTTTCACGTAGCGTATGAAACATGAGCAGCATATATACAGCGTTAAGGGCTTCTTTTTCTTCCTTGTTCTCTTTCATCAATTTAATTAATGTATTTTGTTGGACATGAATCTGACGCTGGAAATAAAATACGTTCAGTTGTCAATTTCCTTCCGGTAAGGGTTAAAGAATAAATGCGATGAAATGACTTACAACAAACCAACATGCTTTTAGCAGAAGTGTAGGGAAACTCAACATTTATACTTTCCTTTCTAGAACAGATTTGTTCACTTTGAAATGAAATTACCTAAGACATTAACATCCCCTGTTGCGTAAGCTTATATGTGACATCGTCTTAGATGTTTTGTAAAGTACATCAGAAAATGTCTTTTACGTGCTTTAAAATAATCATCATTCTATTTTCGGTTGAACTGAAATTGTTTGTCGTATTGCTATTATTAATCACTACCCTAAATAAATGTTTCATTTGGAAAACACACGTTAGCATCTTTTTTTTTTTGCAATTTGTTTGTTTGATATTTGTTATTAGTCGTAAAGTAATGTATAATGTTTTTCTTGCTTGTCTCCAATCTTTGCAATAATGTCGCGGTTGACCTTTTTATTAAATTTAGCCATTTATAAGAAAATGGTTCTTATCTGATAAAAATGTTATTATATTTTTAGCTCACCTGAGCCGAAGGCTCAAGTGAGCTTTTCTGATCACATTTTGTCCGGCGTCCGTCTGTCCGTCTGTCTGTCTGTCTGTAAGCTTTTCACATTTTCGACTTCTTCTCAAGAACCGCTGGGCCAATTTCAACCAAACTTGCCACAAAGTGTCCTTGGGTGAAGGGGATTCAAGTTTGTTCAAATGAAGGGCCACGCCCTCATTCAAGGGGAGATAATTAGGAATTAATGAAAATTTGGTGGCATATTTTAAGAATCTTCTTCTCAAGAACCACTGTGCCAGGAAAGATGAAACTTATGGGGAAACATCCTCAGGTAGTGTAGATTCAAATTTGTTCAAATCATGACCTTCAGGGATAGGATGGGGCCAAAATGGCCGACCAAAGTTTTACATAGAGATATATAGGAAAATTCTTTAAAAATCTTCTTCTCAAGAATGACAAAGCCATAATTCATCATATTTATATGGAAGCATGCTCAGGTAGTGTAGATTCAAGTTTGTTCAAATCATGACCCCCGGGGGTAGGGCGGGGCCAAAATGGCCGACCAAAGTTTTACATAGAAATATATAGGAAAATTCTTTAAACATCTTCTTCTCAAGAATGACAAAGCCATAATTTATCGTATTTATATGGAAGCATGCTCAGATAGTGTAGATTCAAGTTTGTTCAAATCATGACCCCCGGGGGTAGGGCGGGGCCAAAATGTTTTACATAGAAATATATAGGAAAATTCTTTAAAAATCTTCTTCTCAAGAATGACAAAGCCATAATTTATCATATTTATATGGAAGCATGCTCAGGTAGTGTAGATTCAAGTTTGTTCAAATCATGACCCCCAGGGGTTGGCCGACTAAAGTCTTTAAAAATCATTTTCTAAAAAATAGCAAATCCATGATTGGTCATGGGACTACTTTTGGATTTAAACTTTACAATAAAAAGCCATTTTCTACTTTTTCCTACCCTAAGTGCTCAGGTGAGCGATGTGGCCCATGGGCCTCTTGTTTTATTTTGTCAGAATTCTATAAAGTGCTGTGTTGATGAAATGTTTAGTGTCCTAACAAAGTCTTTCAGTGTTATCTTGCATTTTCAGATATCATGTGGCACACAGCATCGATATTGTATTTTTTTGGTGTTTCCACATAAATTATTTCAATCGACCAGTTTGACTGTAATATTTTAACTCTCCTTTTTCCTTTTGAATTATTGAATCTATTTGAAAGCTATACAGCGTCGAAGATTATTTGTTCCACATATAGAAATTATAACTTTAATATGAGTTCTTCGGTGATTTATGTAAAAAGCACAGTTTTCACATACGACAGTTATTTTCATCTTCTTGGCAGTTAGCAGCTCAGTGTAGTGACCAAGCTTACTTTAAAAGTGAGTTTCTTTGCGAGGACAATCGGAAAAATCATGGGGCTTTCTTAATAAGGAGCTCTTTAATAGAACCTTTTTAAAATGTGAAAAAATAGAATTTAATACTTCTAGATTGATTGTAATATACGTGTACTTTATATTGCATTACTTATTGAACGACCCTCGTATCACAAAAGATGACGTACAGTGCAGTGATAATTTATCTTTTACTTATTCAATTAGTGACTTTAGTCTGGATTGATGCAAGAATTTTAACCTATAAACCTATAAACATGGTAAATGCGGGGAATGCGTGTTTAATATGGTGTTTCTTAAATTTATGAATCCGTATACTGACCCAAAAGTAAGAAATTATATATTTAATTAAATCAATAAACAGACATCAGTCTAACATATAACATTCTTCAAAACACGAAGAATGTTAACAACTTTCACCATAGTTATAGTCATTTAAGACAAATTTGGCAATTTTATTATAGTTGCGTGTAGTTTTATAAAAAATAAAACAGGTTGCAAATAAAACTGAAAACCCACGGATTCTTTAAATGAAATTCTTTCTAGGCAAAGAAACAGCTATAACTTTCCACAAAATTTCTATGGTATTATTACTATAAATCTTTTTCGACTTTTTAGAAAATGCTGTTAATATTTCAGTCCGCCATTCTCTGGATCTGATCCAATGAAAACATACAACATTATCCTGAAGGGCATAGATGTGATAGAGTTCCCACGACGAATAGGGAAAAATGCAGCCTCCCTCATCAAGAAATTGTGCAGGGACAACCCGGCAGAAAGATTGGGTTACGGGAAGAACGGAATAGTTGATATCAGAAAAAATAAGTAAGTGGTCGAAATATTATGAAAAGTTGGTCGAAAATTACGAATGTGTTTACTTGAAAGATACTGATTATAGAAAAAAAAAATCAGAAAGTAACGTGAGAAGTATACTTTTGAAGAAATGAAACAGTACCATAACATCAATGTGTTCTTGACAAGGTTTGTTTCTTTTTCAGGTGGTTCCAAGGTTTTGACTGGGATGGCATGCTTCAGAGAAAACTCATTCCTCCAATCATTCCACAGGTAAGATTTACCTATTAAAGAAAAATTAAATATTATTCATTCACCTGTACATTTTTGTAATGAAATATATGAAGATAACGAACAGTATTCAAGCTCAAAAGTCCAAAAACAATACAAAATAGGAGCAAAGTAAACACGGACCTCCAAAACATCAGAGATGGGATCAGGTGCCATGGAGGAGTGAGCATTATTTATTTCAGTAATTGGGTCAATCCCATGAGTTACTTACTAAAAGAAAAAAGAAAGAAAATCTGACATAACCTTTTAGAAAAATGCAAAATATGAAAGATATACATGTAATCATTGGTTGTGAACAGGAAAAAGTGTCTCCTACAAACCAGAAAATGTTCTGAAAAAGCTCATTGAAATTAAAGGAATATGGTCAAATTTCAGGTTAAAGGACCAGGGGACTATAGCAACTTTGACAGCTATCCAAAAAGTACAGAGGTACCTCCTGATGAAACTTCTGGATGGGATTTTGATTTCTGAAATTGCTTTGAGTGAACACTACACGCACACTTGTAAGCTTACTGTAAGGAGCTTGGTAATGTAGTTATTTATTTAATTTTGTTCCTATTTGTTAAATTTTTGTTACAATTTTTTACTTCTAAAGACTTAATTGGTTTAAATCTCTACTAATCAAAAACATGCTTGTGTAATATCCTCTCTGTATAAACAATTTATCCACACTCCTTTAGACAGATTTGTTAATTTTCTTCGATTTTACTATTAGGCTACAACTTATATACATTTTTCTTTTCATCATTTTTTTTTATTTTTATGAACATTTTTGTCAAAGTTTCAAAAATAGAAATTTCAGGGAAATTTTTATTAATTATATACTCTCCTGCAGTTTTAATCCTATATCAATTAACTTGTTTTCAATTCATCTGCATTTCCAAGCATATGTCTACACATTCAGTTGTTTATTGATTTACGAGTGGCATTGCCATGGTAACCGAAATTTCGAATTCAAATTAACATATGTATTAGCATCTTAAGTGTTCACACTGTATTTTATAAGAAGAGAAAGAGTAGCTTTCAGATTTTCAAAATTACTTTGGAAATCTAAATTTCTCTGCATTTGACTTGAATAATAAAATGATGCCGACTTCTTGTTTTCAAATGGTTATTTCTGTGAATCATATTAGGGAACTTGCTTGCTCGGAATTATGATTACCAAATAATGGTGCAAAAGATTTCTATTATTTTTCTTTAGATTGATGTGTAAGATATTTGCCTTTGTGTTGACAGGTGTTTGGAGTTGATTATCCTAAAACAAGGACATCTTTGAGAAGAAATTAACAGTGCTTAGCGTCAAAGAAGAGAAAACTCCAATTTACAACTGTTTTTATGACAATGTGTCGTTTTCGTTGTGTTATATATTATTATTTGGGATTAACCTGGTGCTATATTGCTGACGTCATTGGAAATTGTGCAAAATTTGATGACATCATCGAGGAAGGAATGATTTATTGTGTTATTAATATCAATTTTTCTGTGATATTGCCGTCTTGGATATTCTGTCATTTGGATGACATTAAACAACATGGATCATTTTCATCATTACATGAAAAAATACTCCCATTGGTGTAGTTCATTAATATTAAATGGAAAAAGAATCGGATTATTATATCCAAACCACACTTTATTTACAGTTTCTTTCTAAAAACGTAATTTAATGATTGCTTTGTTTGATCTAGGTTTTGTTGGGTAAAACAGAGCTTTTTGTTCATGTATTTAATCATCTCACTGGTCAGCTGCTTGTCTTGACGACTTTGGCCGCGAGAGATCTGCTCAAGATATTTCTAGTGAAATCAAATACCTGTTATTGTTGATATAAGGACCCTGTTGCATATTTGTCTTCCATTTTATATAGAGTTTATAGAACGACAGTAGAGTCAAGTTTGCCGCATCGTCTTTGGTGTGGTTTCGTCGTACATGTATGTTTTTTGGTCTTATTTTAATGTTGCTCGATTGTATATTCGGAGTATTTTATAAATAAAGAAGAAAAAGATGAACAGTGCAACACATTTTGTTTTCAGTTCTTGTTTTATATTCATCCGATTGATGAAAGTTGAATCAAAAAAGCTTTTTATGAGTAAACGTATTCCAATTGAAACCTGAAAATGATGGCAGATATTCATCATGGAATATAAATGAAGTTGTTTCCCGGATTAAGCCAATACTGCTTCACAATCATTATTAAAAATTTGCATCTGTGTTTTAATTTTTTTTGTTTCATGAATCGGAGTTTAATGATAAAATTATGTTCTCTTTTTGTAATCTTTGACTAATAATTTGACTAAAATGGAAATTGGCTAATCCGAATTTTCTCTATTTTTCTTAAATTTTTAGGTTATATTGGTTAATTTTAAATGTTTCCTATATTAAATTTTTTCTCATTTTCACATATGGTAAAGTTGTCACATAAAGATACAAAATGATACAGAAACAAAAAGGTTTGGTCGTTTACTAACAGAAAAAAACCCACTTATTACCAGTTTCTTGCTCAAATCTGTACTTACATTGGAAGCTTTTAAAGGTGCATGGACACAGATTTGAAGTTAATATTTTCTGTGTAATATTACGACTTCTATATTTTAATAACATTTTACACAAAATTAAATTAAAAATCTTATTTCATCTAAAAGTTATTAAAACTTCAAATTTTTAGACGGATTTCATAAACACATCCTTGCACTTTCACAAATTTTAATTTTATTCTTAATACTTAGGAAAAGTGGCAATCTTGTTGTGTATAAATGAAAAATATTAAAACTATAATCCAGAAAATTCAAGGTAGAAATGTTCGAAAGCAAAACATACACACAATATATTGTCAGTCCGTGCAGTTGTGGTGAGCAGACTTTACGATCGAACGCATCCGGTGAATCGTAAACATCAACAATAAAAGAGCTCGTGCCCTGTTTACAAAAACTGTACGTTTCACGGGTGTGATCAATTTGCTAAACTCTGTACACAACACTTAAGCTTGGAATGGGGATACTTGTGAAAGAGTTTTGCTTTCTAACATTTCTACTCTGAATATAATTATTTTTCTGGATTAAAGTTTTAATATTTTTCTTTATTTGCCTTTGAAATAGCATGCACACACAAAAGAGAACAAAAAGGATCATTTTCTCATACTATAACATTTTTAGCTCACCTGAGCCGAAGGCTCAAGTGAGCTTTTCTGATCACATTTTGTCCGGCGTCCGTCTGTCTGTCTGTCTGTCCGTAAACTTTTCACATTTTCGACTTCTTCTCAAGAACTGCTGGGCCAATTTCAACCAAACTTGCCACAAAGCATTCTTGGGTAAAGGGGATTCAAGTTTGTTCAAATGAAGGGCCACGCCCTCATTCAAGGGGGTATAATTGGGAATTAATGAAAATTTGGTGGTATGTTTTAAAAATCTTCTTCTCAAGAACCACTGTGCCAGGAAAGATGAAACTTATGGTGAAACATCCTCAGGTAGTGTAGATTCAAATTTGTTCAAATCATGACCCCCGGGGGTAGGGTGGGGCCACAATGGGCGACCAAAGTTTTATATAGAAATATATAGGAAAATTCTTTAAAATCTTCTTCTTAAGAACAGCAAAGCCATGATTGCCCATATTTATATGGAAGCATCCCCAGGTAGTGTAGATTCAAGTTTGTTCAAATCATGACCCCCGGGGGTAGGGCGGGGCCACAATGGCCGACCAAAGTTTTATTTAGAAATATATAAGAAAATTTAAAAAAAAATTCTCAAGAACAGCAAAGCCATAATTGCTCATATTTATATGGAAGCATCCCCAGGTAGTGTAGATTCAAGTTTGTTCCAATCATGACCCCCGGGGGTAGGGCAGGGCCACAATTGCCGACCAAAGTTTTATATAGAAATATATAGGAAAACTCTTTAAAAATCTTCTTCTCAAGAATAGCAAAGCCATAATTGCTCATATTTATATGGATGCATCCTCAGGTAGTGTAGATTCAAGTTTGTTCAATTCATGACCCCCATGGGTAGGGCGGGGCCAAACGTTTGGATTTAAACTTTTCAATAGTATTGTAAACCAATTTCTACTTTTTCCTTGCCACAATGCTCGTGTGAGCGATGTGGCCCAAGGGCCTCTTGTTTTTTATATGAATGGGTCTTCTCTCCATTTTTTTTGAAAGATAATCCTTGAAAAGTTTGCAATAAAATATACATTTTTTGGTTTACAAAAATATGCAGCAAAGACCCACAATACCTTAAAAGTACACTTTTATGACAAAACATTCGAATTTTTTCGGAAAATACTTGTTCAAAGTCTGTTTCGTCAAGGGCCATATAACAAACATAATTTAAATGCCACACCATGTAATGAGCTGTATAGCATAGTGGTTAGCGTGTTAGTCTTATAGCAATAAGACTCCGGATTTTTATTGCTAGGGCCGGATTTTTATTGCTAGGGCTCAAATCCCACAAATACCATATTATTTTTGGATAAAGATAAATTCAATATTTTTTATCTTAGAAAAGATTTTTTATCATGATTTCATTAATTTCAATAACGAGAACTGAAACAATCAATCAATTCAATCAACTTGAATTCAATTCAATCAATTCATATTGAATTGGATTTTTTAAAATCTTAAGATATAGGCACTCTGCACGCCTTGTTCTCCCATCTTCTTTTATTTTGCTGTAACAACGTGTTATTATGATAAATTTGTATGTAATTTAAACCTTTTTGATCAATTAGACTAAAATAAAGCATTAAATTGCTTCAGAAGAAAGACTTCTATACAATCGAATAATTATACAGTGTTATCACAGGCACTTGTTTCAGTAATAAATTTTTAACCCATAGTATAATAATAACACAAGGTATCTCCGAATTACACGGAGTACCCCCCTCACTTAGAATCACGCTTAGAATTCACTTTCAGAGGAAATGCACGGGTAAACTGTTTATACCTATGTCTTCTACGATAATTTATCACAACCATATCTGGCATGCTTGTCTTTATTTTCTTTTATCTCCGTAATCAGCGTCAAAATTCTGCTCGCCGGGATGAAAGTCAAACTCAACCATAGAATGGTATGTTCTAGTATAGAATGGTATGTTCTAGTCTCGAGCAAAGAGCAAAATTAAACAAGAGGCCCATGGGCCACATCGCTCACCTGAGCACTGTGGCTAGGTAAAAGTATACATTGGTTTATTGAAAAAGTAAAATCCAAAAGTAGTCCCATGAACAATCATGGATTTTCTATCTTTGAGAAGAAGATTTTTAAAGTATTTTCCTATATATTTCTATGTAAAACTTTGGTCGGCCATTTTGGCCCCGCCCTACCCCCGGGGGTCATGATTTGAACAAACTTGAATCTACACTACCTGAGCATGCTTCCATATAAATATGATAAATTATGGCTTGGTCATTCTTGAGAAGAAGATTTTTAAAGAATTTTCCTATATATTTCTATTTAAAACTTTGGTCGGCCATTTTGGCCCCGCCCTACCCCCGGGGGTCATGATTTGAACAAACTTGAATCTACACTACCTGAGGATGCTTCCATATAAATATGAGCAATTATGGCTTGTTCATTCTTGAGGAGAAGATTTTTAAAGAATTTTCCTATATATTTCTATGTGAAACTTTGGTCGGCCATTTTGGCCCCGCCCTACCCCCGGGGGTCATTACCGTCTTCCTTGGAAGACGGTATTGTATAGTTGAAGTTTTTTACAGTCTTCGGATTATGCACTTCCTCTCTTTTGTGATTGGTAGAAAATGCATGATGAGAAAATTTTCAATTATTTCATTGGTTGAAATGCTGTTCAAGGCAAGGGAGATCACTTTCTGATGATCTAATTTTCGTACGACTTAACAATTTTGCGAGATTTTCAATCTTAAAAAAAAATGACAAAACGAACAACAAAATCAGCAGTAATTAATTCCTAATAACATGATTTTTTGTACAGCAAAAAATAAAAAGATCTCTTTAACTTCATTATAAATAAAATTTGATTTTTATTGCTTGCAGGCTTTACAATTTGTTATTATTCTTTCCCCTTTCTTGTTTGAAGAAGGAAATGGAATCAGCCGAGGTTTGCCGAAAGCTCTCGGCGAGTCAAATTTTTTACGGAGATGACCGAGCGACAACCGTGGTAGGGCTAATGCCAGTAAAAAGCTAATGTAGAAATACAAAATCAAGAAATTCAAAAGAATTATACGGCCTGATAGGTGTAGATCAGTTTACAGTTTAAGATTGTTGCTAAAGACGGGAAGCTTTTTTAAAAAGGTCTACTTGTGATTTGAACAAATTTGAATCTACACTACCTGAGGATGCTTCCATATAAATATGATGAATTATAGCTAAGTCATTCTTGAGGAGAAGATTTTTAAAGAATTTTCCTATATATTAAAATGTAAAACTTTGGTCGGCCATTTTGGCCCCGCCCTACACCCGGGGGTCATGATTTGAACAAACTTGAATCTACACTACCTGAGCATGCTTCCATATAAATATGATGAATTATGGCTTTGTCATTATTGAGAAGAAGATTTTTAAAGAATTTTCCAATATATTTCTATGTAAAACTTTGGTCGGCCATTGTGGCCCCGCCCTACCCCCGGGGGTCATGATTTGAACAAATTTGAATCTACACTACCTGAGGATGATTCCCCATAAGTTTCATCTTTCCTGGCACAGTGGTTCTTGAGAAGAAGATTTTTAAAACATGCCACCAAATTTTCATTAATTGCCAATTATCTCCCCTTGAATGAGGGCGTGGCCCTTCATTTGAACAAACTTGAATCCCCTTCACCCAAGGATGCTTTGTGGCAAGTTTGGTTGAAATTGGCCCAGCGGTTCTTGAGAAGAAGTCGAAAATGTGAAAAGTTTACAGACAGACAGACAGACGGACAGACGGACAGACAGACAGACGGACAGACGGACGCCGGACAAAATGTGATCAGAAAAGCTCACTTGAGCCTTCGGCTCAGGTGAGCTAAAAATCAGTGGTTATAAAAATTCAATTCCATTGTTTAAATATTGCAATGAGT